AAATAAATAAATAAATAAATAAATAAATAAATAAATAAATAAATAAATAAATAAATAAATAAATAAATTCATTTGAGAAAAAAAGGAAAGACATTTGAGCTGCAATCTTGTTCATGTGTATTATAAAATAAAATTAATTTAAAAAATCTTGTTCATGTGAACTTAGATGTAACTTAGTGGGACTTTTGCCAATTCCATTTGTGATGGTACTTATTTTTGTTTAATGTAAGTAAATATTTCAGAAGTTAAAATGCTATTTCCGCTACATGCCACAGGATATTTTATTGTTACCTAAAACCCTGGCTTTAAGAAATGCTGTTCCCATTTTGCTGCCCACATGTAAGAACTAACATATTCAAGTGGCAGAGCAACAGCTACTGAGACACAATTTTCTGTATACACTATTCAACTGCAGTTCTGCTTTGGCACTTTCTTCTTTCATTTTTACTAAAAGTTGTTTCAAGCCATTACTGCTTTCTGCCAGTAAGATTGTGTCATCTTTCACATCTTAAATAATTGATGTTTTTCAAACAGTTTTCCTTCCTCCTCCATATGAATCTAGTTTAGCTTTCTGTATGATGTGTTCTGCGTAGAGACTGAAGAGATAAGGGGATAAAATGCACCTTTGTCTAACATCCTTACCTGTAGAAAACCATTCTCTCTCTCTCCATATTCTGTCCTAATGATAGCTTCTTGTCTACAATACTGTTATGCATCAGAAAAATCAAGTGCAGAAGCACACAATTTCTTTCAAAACAATCCATATTTTCACATGATCCACACAGTCAAAAGCTTTCCTGTAGTCTATAAAACAGAGACTGGTCTTCTGAAATTCTTTGGTGCACTCCAGTAGTCAGGAGATATTTGCAATATGATCTTGAGTGCCTCTTTCTTTTTGGAATCCAGCTTGAGCATCAGGTATTTCTCATTTCGTATAAGGTAAAAGCCTTTGTTGCAATACCTTGAGCATCACTTGACTTGCATGAGAAATTAAAGCAAGGTCCTATAGTTGCTATACTCTTTGGTATCTCAGTTCCTGAAGAATTGGCATATATTATATTGAATGTTGCCAGTCTGTGGACCATGCTTTGTTTTCCATTTTTGTTGGCATGTTCTTGTCAGGATTTTGATAGATTCAGTTCTGCGGTCTGAAATGGTTCTACTGGTATTCCTTGTACCCTGGTGATTTATTTCTTCCAGGTGCTTTCAGAGCAGCTTTCACTTCACTTTTGAGAATGGCAGGTTCTTCACCATAGGATTCCTCTTCAAACAAGTCTGCCATTCCTTTATCTCTTCTGTATAGGTCTTCAGTATACTGTTTCGACCTTTCCTTGATTTTCTCCTGGTCAGACAGTGTGTTTCTCTGCAGATCATTCAACATTCCTAATCTAGGCTTAAATTTTCCTTTGATTTCTTGGGTCTTCTGGAGGAGATCTCTTGTTTACCCCCTTTTGATGTTCTGCTTTATTTCTTTGTACAGATACATACTTAAATGTGAATTTTTTCTAGTTCCTTCATAGTTGCCTTTCCAGGTTTCAGCATTTGAATTTCAGAGCTGCAGTCTCCATTTGGACTGATGCTTGAACCAAGGTACAAAAATGCTTAATGATTTCTTTTTCTTCACTGTGAACATTAAAGTTAGATAGTTTTTCTGTAG